GCAGGATCTGAACTCAGGTCTTTCCAACTCGAAGAACTATGTTCTTGCTACTACACCACCCTGTCCGCTCTTGCCCCAGCATCTCCATTTCTTGGTTAGTTCCTAATCTAGTTCACGTTCATAGTCTTACCTTCCTGGGGAAGCTTGTTTTCCTGATTTGCCACCAGTTGCACAGTGCTTCCTCCCTGTGCATTATCCTTTCCCCAGATTAGACGACCCCTGTGCTACTGCTTTCATCTTTTTCCTTCCTCACCTACAATGGAGGACGGGCCCACATAAACCTCTCGGTGCATATGTCTGCAGAACTGCAGACCTGCACACGTGTGATTCTTTTTTTTTTTTTTTTAGATTTTTATTTATTTGGGAGAGAGAGAGCACAAGGGGGGTGAGGGGCAGAGGAAGAAGCAGACTCCTGCTGAGCAGGGAGCCTGATGCGGGACTCAATCCCAAGACTCTGAGATCATGACCTGAGCAGAAGGCAGACGCTTAACCGGCTGAGCCCCCCAGGCGCCCCCACACATGTGATTCTAATGGTTTCCACAAACTACTGGCCAGACCACAAGTAGTTGTGTATGTCTGGAGGCATGTTTATTTCAGGGCACTGTATTGTAGTGGAAAAAACAGGAGCTTTGGAGTCCACAGATAGGGAAAGTGCTTAGGGTCATGCCCGCCGTGTGGTAAGCGTTCAGGAGCGACGTTATTTGCATTTGTGTGTGTGTGTATCTATGTGTCAGGTTTATTTAATTGCCAGTCCGTTAGCCCAGAGACTCATGACAAACAGTATGCCCTCTGTGGTCTTGCATAAGAGGCAACAGGGTGTAGAAACACCATCCTACCTTGCGATGCCCAGTGCATGCTGGGAGGGTGATGTTTGTGGCACCTGTGAGTTACCATGTTGATGGCTGTGTTGGGGGAGACTCTTGCTCTCTTCTGAGCCAGAGGAGCACACACATCCTCCCTGGTTGCTCCTTTTGCAGGGAAAGGCTTGGAGCAGCCGCCCGGGACAACCTCATGAGCTCCCCCTGTTGATGTTCTTGTCAACCCAGAGCTGCAAGAGCCCTACCTGGCCTTTGTCCAACCCTGCTTCACACACACACACACACACACACACACACACACACACCATTCTTACAGCTGGACCCTATTCTATAGGAGTTAAGAGCAAGCATATCCAGACCCTCAGAGTAGGGCTGTGAGGGGTGTTAGGATCGGGGCATCCAATGGAGGGGACAGGTGTGCTCTGCTGACCACAGCGTGGGCCCAAGCAAGAGTAAGACCCTAGCTAAGCCGGCCTGGAGAATGATTTTTTCTCATCTGCACAAAGATGACACATAGGCTGGGGGTGTGCTGACTGCATCCCACAGGGAAGGACGCTGAGGGAGGAGAGGAGCTACCAGGCCCTCCCTCTCTTCTGTGTCTGCACTCTGTTATGTCCCCTAGGCCTATCCCACACCCAGACTAAACATTTGACAAGACACATGGAGGTGACCTCTGAGGCACCATGACTTATCCAGTAAAACAAATCAGGAAGCTTTGGGGTCATCATCACAAAATGGTGTGTGCCTCACAGACCTTCACCCCATCTCTGATCCTTATGGGAGATGGTGAGAAAGGGGTGAAGCTTAGGTATGAGTCAGAGGTGGATGGAGTGAAGGTCAAGAGGGGGCAAGGGTGAGGGGTGGGGCGAACTCTTTTGCAAATGCAACTTCATTCATGTTCTCTAGTTAAATATGTAAAGATTTGCCTTGGGGTCATGGACGTGAACATCAAATTGCCCCCCAACCTAGCCAATGTTTCTGCAGCTTCTTGAGCTCCAGAGGCCTTCCCTGTATGTGCATGTCAGTCCTCTCATCATGGGGCTACCACTGTACCCCTAGGAAGGTATCCATCACCCACAAATGTGGAGCACAGCCAGACTTCTCAGGAGCCACCACCCTGAGCTGAACCTTTGAGAAGCAGGCTGGCATGCCAAGGATGACCACCAGGGGGCAGTGCTGGGGCACGGAGGGAGCTGGGGGGGGGTAGCCTCGGCAGGACCCACCCAGGCCTAGGACCAGATGCAGATCTAGGTCACCCTCCAGCAAATCAGGGTCTAACCCCTCCTGCTGTGTATGTGCCTAGCCTACACTGCCAGCAGGCTTGGCATCAGACATTATTCCATTAACCTCTCTCCGAGACCTCCAGCTCGTCTGCCCCTCGCTGGACCTCAGCCTCCCATCTCTTGTGACCAGCTTGGACCGGGTCACCTCCAAGGACTCTTGTGGCTCTAATTTTCGGCAAGTCTTTGAGACTTTGGGGTATTCCCACCCCACTCTACCGACATGGAACTGAGGTAGCGGGATAGGGTGGTCTTTGAGGGAAGAGGGCAATGTGATCAGTGCAATGAGAAGTAGGAAAATGTCTCTTTTTCTGTCACTACTAGAGCATTAAGATCCAGGTTCCCACACCCCTACCCCCATGTCCCAGGGCCAGGAGCATTAGAGAATACAGAGGACCCTCCTGGGGCCGGCTACCATGTGTATTAAATATTTTTCCGTAAAAAGAAAAAAAAAAATCTTCCTAAAGGGACATATATCCATCCATTCTTTTTTTTTTAAGATTTTATTTGTTTATTTGAGAGACAGCGCATGCACACACGCTCGAGTGGGGGAGGGGCAGAGGGGGAGGGAAAGAGAGGATCCCAAGCAGACTCCGCGCCCGGTGCTGAGCCCAACCCCACAACCGCAAGACCTGAGCCAAAACCAAGAGTCAAACACTCAACCCACTGAGCCACCCAGGCGCCCCTGTCCATTCTTTTTAAAAATGTATTTCTTGACGCATTTTTTGTGGTAGCATCCGTCTATTGAAATGTTCATTGAGCACCTACTGTGTGCCGTCACCGTGCTTGATAGTAATGGTGCAGAGATAGATACCCTGTGATAGATCACAAGAAATGAGAGTTTCTTCCTGGGCTTGACTCTGCTCTGTGGCCTTGGGCAATTCCTTTCATTGTTTTGAGTCTTAGTTTTCCCATCTGTAAAATGGGACAAGAGCACAAACCTCCCGTAAACGTTGTGAGGATTCAACTAGCTGATACATGCACAGGGTTGGCATGCACACAAGTCTCTGAGTAACTCTTGGTCACCTTCCTCTTTGGGACTGCACACCCTTTAGAGTTATGCGCACCTTCCCCTCATCGCTGCCAAACCCATAGAAAGAATTGCCCTGGCCCAGGAACCCACATCTTGGCACAATGTTCTTAGTCCCCACCCAGGCATTTGGGAACCAAGCTTTAAAAATATATGTATGTACTTTCTGATCCTGTCTGTGTTCCATGCCAAGCCATCTGTTAAAGCCATGGAGAAGCTCACAAGGTGACATTTGCCTGGATAAATAGGCATTGGCAGCCACAGAAGTGACGACACTTCTGTGGGACAGAGCTCAGGCCCCTGGCACGGAGGCTTGCCGTTTGTCCCTTCTTGCCACCAGCATGGAAGCTGGATACACGATGCTCACCATGAGCGACCCTACCAGCAATAGCAGCCTCCTGTAGGCTTCCCCAGGGAGAGGAGAGGTGCCTGGGTCTGGGTGTGGAGCTGGTTCTCAGCAAAGGTGCCGCCTGGCTTCCTGCCCGCCCTCCCCAGCCCCGCCTCAGCCGATAAGACAGAGCAGCCCCCTGCCAGCCGGCCTGAGTATATTCTTGGGGGAAGATGAGCCTCTGAAGGGATTCAGAAATGTTCTCTTTGGCAGCGAAAAGAACCTCATGCCCCTGCTGAGTCTGTGGTTCGGGGAGGGACCAAGAGGGCAGTTTGACCAGGGGAGGACCACAGAGGGTTTTGGGATAGAGAGAAAAGGAAAGTAGCCTGAGAGTCAGGATTCTTGGGGTTTCTCCATTGCTTTGCAATCAGCTCTCTGTAGGCCCCAACTCTCCATACGTTGCCTTTCAGGGAGGCCTTGGGGGATTTGATTCCATTCAGTGACTTTGGATCCCATAGTCAAAGGTAAACCATGGGACAGGGACAGGTCCTCTTCATTTTAGTGTCCTCAGGGCCTACTGGCATAAACTGTGTGTTTGATAAGATTTACTGGATGGATTGATAGAAAGATGGAGAAAGTTCTTGGAGTTCTTCATGCTCGGAACCCCTTCATCTTTTGGCTGTTATTTTCACCCTGGCAAGGAGATGGGACAAATTCTGTTTGCTTTTTGCTGTTGTAGATTGATTCTTCTCATCTGACCATGTTAACATTCTGCCTGGAAACCAAGTTTGAATAAAATGACCCCTGATCGTTTAGGATTCTGAGGGTGGCGGCCGTACCCATACAATCCTCCTCACTCAGGATCTCACTGTTGCCCAGAGCTCAGTCTGTGCTCCAGAAAATGACTGCTCATGCCCTCCACCTCCCCACCAGCCACCTCACTTTTAGGGGCTCTATTTGCACTATCCCTCCTGAGCCCCATCGAGCAACTCCAGACATTCCCAGTCAGTGCTTGGGGCCCAGGGAGCGTGACATGCTGGAGCTGGCTCTTACCAGCTTCCCAGAGCTGACTGATAGCATCTCTTCCTAACCCTGTGGTCAGTGACATCATGTTGGTAGCTTAAAAGAGTCATGGGAGGAATATTTACACCACAGAAATTGGCAAACACTCCAAGTCGGCGTCCCCACCTCCGAGGGCTGGTTGTTAAACATTTACCAACATATCACTGGAGGTGGGGTTTGGTGCAGACATTCCAGTTGACCTCAACCACAGGAACCTTGCCTGTCAGGGACCTCTGCTCTGAGGAGCAAGGCCTCCCAAAAATGAAGCCAGAAGGAACAGTTCCTGAGGGGGTCTGGGTGGCGTGCCCAACACAGACCCCTTCCAGGGTCAAGATGTCAGGCGGTTTAAGGGCGTGTATCTAGGGTGACCAGCATGGCCTGGGGAGCAGTGTCCTCAGGACATGGTCAGTCTCCACTCCTTGACACCCTCAGCTCTCACCAGAAAGTTCTCCACTCACCCAGCTGCTCTTTTCTCCCTCTAGACCCAGAGTCCCAGAGAAAGAGGACAGTGCAGAATGTCCTGGATCTTCGACAGAACCTGGAAGAGACCATGTCCAGTCTGCGAGGGTCCCAGGTGACTCACAGGTAGGTCTAAGCTGCCGAGGGGGCCACACCCTCCGCTGCTCTTTCTCTCTCCCACTCTGGAGAGCAGGGCTTCAGAGCCCCACGGTGCCACTGCTGCAGGGACAGGAGAGTTGGCCATCTCGGCAAAAGAAGCTTGGCTTTGCCTGGGATCTGCTTGCGCTTGAGCATGAGATTTCATTTTGAGCAAATGAGTTTGAAAAGCACGAGAGTGGGGGATGGGAAGCCACCCCGTGATGCAGGGCGTGACCTTCATGTCCACTTTCCCTCCTTCAACACCAGTCTCCTCATCTGTTACAGATGCTGTCCTCCTGTCCTGAAGTTTCTGTTATTAGAGGCTTCTAGAATCGTGCCCATCCCAACACCCAGCATCTTTTCCCTCTTCTGTCAGTTGGGTGTCCCCTTGCCTCTTCAGCCAGTGGCTGAGGGAGCCTGAGTGCTCAGGCTCCTTGTCACCCAGATCCACGCCACGGGGGTGTGCCCCTTCACCCCACCCTGCCGAGACCTTGCAGCCTCCAGCAGCGGGGGGCATTCCGCCCTCCCATGGCACCTCTCCCTGGAGCGGCACACTGGCCACGGCCTCTGCCATGACTCAGAATTTCCCCCAGTGGCTCCTAGAGCTGCTCAGATGAGCTCATGCTGTCAGCTCCAAGGGGGATAGAGGGCCAGGCAGGGGGTAGAAGGAGAGGGAGCAGACAGCCAGGATTGGGAAATCCTGGGGGTGTGGAGCAGGAAGGCTGAGAGCGATTAGGTGGCCTGTCCAGTTGGACTGGAGATCGGTTCCTCCCCATCTCCTGGGGTAGGAAAATGAGAGCAAAGTTGGGACAGACAGACAAAAGGATAGGGGCTTTGCTGAGCCCAAGTGTGTGGCCACGTGATAGCCAGACTAAACTGACATACCTCCAGTGACAGAGAACTCACTAACTGTCAATCATCTCTGTGCACCATGGGATTGCCATGACCAGGTAGTGGAACAGAAATCAGGCTTCATAGCTTTCACCCATTGGCTCTAGTTCTTCTTCTGCTTAAGAACACCGCTCCTCCTCCTTCCACTACTCTGCCTAGCCCCGTCCCGTCCTCCTTATTGGACACTCAGCCCTTTGCTCCCAGATAGCTGAAATATTTTCAGTGCTAAATCAAAGCCTCTATTCTGTGGAGTTCACAGGACCCAGCCTACTGAAAGGGATGTGGTCAAGGACATCCGAGGAAAAGAGTGCATGGGGGGAGGCTCCTGGAGGCCCTGGGGCTCAGGCCCCCTTACATCTATTCCTAACCTCCATCCCTCACAGTCCTGAGCAGGACCCAAGTGAGACAGGGGCCGGGCTCAGCTTGGCTCACCAGTTCAGGGACTCAGTGGAGGAAATCTTGAGCGTCCTCCTTCCCCCATCCAGGGAAGTTGCTGAAACAGCTTTCAGCACCAAATCCTATGCCAGCTCCATGCCAAAGAAGGCAGAAAGTGCTTAGTTGCTGAGGGGGTCACACCCCAAATGACTCACCCGCAGGGGAAGGATAGAAGCAACAGCTTCCGTGTCCTGGTACCACTGACTCTGAGCAGCCAGCCCGTGAAGCAGGACAGCCTGACCCCTTTTTGCTTTCTGTTTGGGGTGGAGAAGAGAGAGCTGGCTGGTTGGAGGGGAGAGCCTCCGACCTCTGGCTTCTGCCTCCCTTTGTGGAAAAGGAACCAAGAGCCCTGAGCTGGTTTTGCTGTTGACTGTGGACCCAGAGCCACTTCCTCTCTTAGTCTTTGGTTTATATTCTTCCTGGTCCACGCTTTGATAGCCAGAACAATGATCCCCTGAGGTTTTAGGGCTTTTTTTTTACTTTTTAAAGTGCTTTCCATCCATCAGCCCTGGGAGAAGACAGGGTATGTTCATATCGTCTGGGTTAGAGAAGTAGCAGCCGAGGCTGGGGAGAGGGGGGTCCCTTGCCGGAGTCACGCAGGCTGATGAGGGTGGGTTCTGTGTCCGGCAAGCTTAGAACCCATGCCAGGCACGGTGCTGGGCACCAAACCCCAGAACAAACACAGGCTTCATCCTTGATGGGGAGCTTCCCGTCCAGTGAGCAGTTCCAGCCAGGTTATTTTCACTCTGGAACTTAGAGGCTAACTCTAGATTCAATTCCTTTTTCAGAAATCTTTTATTTCTGTCCTGCTTCCTCTATTTCTACTGGCTCGTTTCCCCAGCAAGGAGAGTGTCTGGGTCAGGGGGCTGGGGCTGGAGAGGAAGTGAAAGTCTCCCTCCAAGCCCGCCACTCTCCCCACCCCAAAGAGAGAGCGAGAGCGAGCGCGAGAGCGAGCAAGAGAGAGAGAGGCAAGACTGAAGTGCCAGATGCAAGGCTGGAAGGCAAGAACCGACGTTTTAAGCTAGAATCCTCCCCCGCTGACTTAGAGATGTCTGGAGATCGGTTGGGGGGGGATAAAAAAGAGCAGCAGAACTGAGGAAGAGGCACTTTTAGTGCAGAGAGCTAAGCAGGAGTAGGCCAGGAATAGCACTGAGGGATCTGGATGCTCCGCATACGCACAACCCACACTGCACACTAATTTTATTGCCGCGGTGTAGACTGACTAGGGAAACGGGCTGTCCTGGAGCTCTCCAGCGTCGTCACCATGGCCATCATCATCCTTTCCTTTCCCATTCTCATCTCATTGTCACGGTCAGCTTGTTTTCATTAAACCCTTACTGCGTGCGTCCCTGGACTGAGTCTGATGACGAGAACGTCCTTGCTCTTCAACTCAGCACATTCGTCCTGGGTCTGCTCCTCATTGATTGGTTCTTGTACCTGGACCCAAGAACATGCCAGGCCCCGCGTGAAGTGCTGACATACAGTGGTGAGCAAGGCGGCCAGTCACACAGGCCCACAGTCTCCTTCAGGGAACTTCCATTCGCTCCGAGGTCCACAGTAATTAGAAACAGAAATAACACAGTGTGTGATGAAGCACACACCAAACACCAGAGGAGGGCCTGGAGGGGAGAAGCTGGATGCACGCCAGGTCAGGAAGCCCCACAGAGGGTCAGAGGCAGTGCTCACAAATTGCCCTGCCCAGCCAGGGCACCCCCAGCTTGTGCACAGGACTTCTGTAGAGACCACCTGCGTGCTCGGATTCAAGGGTCTTTGGGCTCCTCCAGTTCTGTTGATCGAAAAGATCAGCCCTTGGGGGCACCTGGGTGGCTCAGTCGGTTAAGGGTCTGCCTTCGGCTCAGGTCATGATCTGGGGATCCTGGGATCGAGCCCCGCGTCTGGGGAGCCTGCTTCTCCCTCTCCCTCTGCCCCTCCCCCCTGCTTGTGTGCGCGCTCTCTCTTTTTCTCACTCTATCTCAAATAAATAAATAATAAAATCTTTAAAAAAAATTAACCCTTATTTTCTCAGGGTTGGTAGAGACAATTTGGGAGGATTTTCTTTTTTTCCAGGAGCATTACAAAAACAAGAATAGAAAAATCAGTGTCCCACTCATACCTTAACCCCCCAAAGTGACTAAGAAATAGATGTGTTCACAGAGTGAGGGTTCGTGTGCCTGTATAACTCCTGGGCAGCCACAGATTGCCTTAGCTACCCAGCTTTCGAGGCCTACGGATCCTCTTTCAGTTGCACAACCCTGCCTGGCTTTAGTTAGGCCAAGCCCCTGCGACCCTGCCCATGGTTGATTGGGGCTGGCAACGCTGCTGGGATGAGTGCGATGATCAGTCTCTGTCTGAACCCACATCCAGGCCACCTCTCCAAGCAGATCCCAACTACCCTTGCCCTCTGCTGCCACCTGCAGAGGGTCCCTGGGGGAGAAAGGCATCTCCTTCTCCAGCTCCCAGACTCCCTCTGTGTCAGGTCATCCAGCACAAACCTGGGCATGCTTTCCTGGCCTGGCCTAGCAGGGCCTGAGGCATGGGGCCCTGCACATCCTGTCTTCACCCCGTTGTCCATTTCCCCATGTTCTCTCCTCTTTCCAGTTAAGGCTGCTTCTGTTCTCTGGTGAGGTGCTGCTTTCTCCTGACAGCTTAGGCCTTTCGCTAGTCTTATTGGGAAACAGCCACACATCTCAGGTTCCCAAAGCTTTGCCTGTACGCTCTGTTACCCACTCCAGGCTTTGCCGTCTCTGGTTTGGGAATCAACTAGCTCTTAGCTTATTAATAGAAAAGAGGTGATAGACACACCCTGAACAGATGAATGATCAAGGCCTTTGCAGCTCGGGTGACCGGTCTATCCCACTTCCCCCAAGCGATCCCACTGGACTCTTCCCATTTATTGAGCAGCTTGTATATACCAGGCACTGCGTTAGACATTTACATATGTGATCCTTACAACTCAGTGGAGTAGCTAATCTGCTACATCCCCATTTTACAGACGAGGAAATGGAGGCTTAGCAAGATTGATGAGTTCACCTCCAGCTCACTTACAAATAAATCGTAGAAAAGGACTAAAACCCAGCTCATGTCATAAAATCTATGCCCTTAGGCAGTATATGGGATTGGTTCCCTCGCACTTAAGAATCCTTTTCCTCTGACACCCTCAGGGGTGCCGGACCCAAAAGAGAGGCCTCCTGGCGGTTCCTGGAGCCCACGTGGGCAGGTGCAGAGGAGGCGGGAGGGCCTGGGAAGGCGGAAGGGTCGCTGGAGTGCAGTCCGCCGGGACAGGGCCCAGAGCGGCCCTGCCAGAATGAAAACCAGTGTCCTTCTGCCCTCTGCCCAGCTCCCTGGAGATGACGTGCTACGACAGTGATGACGCCAACCCTCGCAGTGTGTCCAGCCTCTCCAGCCGCTCGTCCCCCCTCTCCTGGCGCTATGGCCAGTCCAGCCCGCGGCTGCAGGCTGGGGACGCGCCCTCAGTGGGCGGGGGCTGCCGCTCGGACGGGCCACCCGCCTGGTACATGCACGGGGAACGGGCCCACTACTCGCACACCATGCCCATGCGCAGCCCCAGCAAGCTCAGCCACATCTCCCGCCTGGAGCTGGTCGAGTCCCTGGACTCGGACGAGGTGGACCTCAAGTCCGGCTACATGAGCGACAGCGACCTCATGGGCAAGACCATGACGGAGGACGACGACATCACTACCGGGTAAGGCCCCTTGCACCGCGGGGCAAGGGGGCTAGGGAGGGCAGGGGGAAGATCAGTGGAGTGGGATTCCTTCAGAGGGGAGTGGGACTCACGACGGGAGTTTGGATTGCTGTGCTGTGACAAGAGACAGCTGTGCAGGGCCTTTGGACACCGGTCGTGGCTGCCCCTGAAATTTGATGTGGTGTATTACGGGCTTTGGTGTGGTGGGTGGGGCCGCCATTGGAGGAGCTGATTGGTCAATGGAGGGACCTCCCTCTCATTGGCCCCGGGTGGCTGTCGTTCTAAGGCATGCCCCGCCCTCCTCCCCGGTCCTTTGCCCTCAAAAGGCTGACGGGAAGGGCTCTGGGAAGGAAGTGGCGCTAGTCCCCGTTCCGCCAACTCCTTGTGGGCCTCGGACAACCTAATCTGCTATCCCCTTTGTAAAAAGAGGATGAGAGTACTATACCTGTCTACCTCCGAGTCTAACAGGAAGAGAAAATAAAAGCACTACTGAAACAGAAAAGTGGGACTGGTGGCTCCCCCTTCCCTCGCCGGCATTCGCGGCCCCTCTGTCCCGTGCCTTCCCCTATGGCACTCAGTTTCCGCTGCTCTGGTTTCTTCCTCTGCAGACCTTCTACCAGTAATGCAACTTCCAAGCCCCTATCCCGGTCTGTTAAACCCTTCCTTCCTGTACTTTGCCCCACGGGGACCCTCATCTTTTCTGCCCCCAATTGGCAGGGTTGGGTTTGTGGAGCAACGTGGACATAGGCAACAGTCTGGGAAGTGAGGAGAAGATAGAAAGAAAGAAGTGTGGGAGGTGGGAGGGGTCCTGGCCCAACTGTTCCAAGCCGTGAGATCGAAGAGCTGTAGTGGTTCTGGAACCTTCTCCAGGGCATCTTTCAGTTCATTGCTACTTCCTCTCTTCCTTCTTGGTTTGCTGGAACTTTTCAAGGGACCACACAAGTGGTGACAACACCCCGCTTCCCCCTACCCCTCTCAGGGACTACCTCTTCCCAATAAAAACCCCCAAGCTTCAAGAGAATGGAAAGTAGCCCCTCCTAGGAAAGGACTAAGAGCTGAGCTCCAGGCCATCCACTGTTCCCCACCCTTGGGGACAAACTTGAAGGGACTGGGCAGGGCCTATCCAGTTGATGAGGCTGCTCTGGAGCAAAACAACTGACTCATGAATGGGGTTGTTTACTGCCTCTTAAATCCCCGGGGCCGCCCGACCTCACGCTCAGATCCACCAGCCTGGAGCTGGGACTGGAGAAAAGCCACCCAGCTCCTCCTGTGCTCAGAGGGCTTTGCCAGGCAGGAAGGAGAGCCAAGGTGTCTGACGGGCTGCTTTGTACAGCCCCTGTGCTGGGAAGCTGCTTCTCTGAGGAAGCATCCAGTCCCTGCCCTCTGAGAGCTCCTAATTGGGTGGGGCAAAGGGAGGCACAACCCCTATGAGGCAGAGAGCTCTGAAAGTTCCCCATGTGCTGGAAGGACCGGAGCCCCAGCCCTCAGGAAGCTCCCAGACAGAGGGAGGTGAGAGCCATCCCCCACAGTGCACGCAACGGCCATGGCAGAAAATTTCCCAAACGTTGGAAGGCACAGGACTCCTGCCTTTGGAGAGATCCCAGTCTGACTCAGGTGGCAGGACTTCCTAGCTGTGTGAGCTTGGGGTAGTTAGGTAACCTCTCCAGGCTTTAGTTTGTCTGTCTGCTAAATGGAGATAATAGAACCTATCTCAGGATGATTATAAGGATTAAATAGCTAAACACATAGAAAGTGCTTGGAATAATCCCTGGCTCATTGTAAATGCTCAATAAATGTTAGCTTTTTTTTTTTTTTTTGCTGTTATTGGTTATTATGGTTATTGTTAAAATGCCATTCTGAAGGAGGAGAAGGACTCCTGCCCCCCGAGGGTCCCAGACTTGCCCCCAGGGACTGTGCAGTTTCACCCGAGTGCCAGTCAGAATCAGCAGCTGGGACAGATGTAACAGCAGCTGGCCAAACCTGGGAGCATCGATTTTGGGGGTGTGAGGGCATGGGATGCTAGGCAGAGGGGAGCCAGGAAAGATGAGCTTAATCCACCCTTTCTTTATACCCTTCCCTCTGGGCAGGGTGTGTGCTCCTGAATCAGTTTAAAAAAAGCAGACTTCACTGAGGCTAGCATGAATGAGAACGTGCAAGCCCAGGGAAGCCTGCAGTTCCTAGGAAGAAGAAAGTGTTGGCATGGAAGTATCCGTAAAGTGGACCTGACTACAATCTGCGATGCTGGTTTCCAAGATGATTTCATGTGTGTTGTTTATGGGCGGTCTGCAGTTAGCAGGAAATCTTAACACTTGATAGTTTTAAAGTTTCTCCGTTGTTGACTTCTCTGCCAGGCCTGGGAACACACCCACCCTTCAGTGTGCTAAGGAAGTCAGAGCTGAGGGGAACCCACTTATAATCCCAGTAATTTTAATGTAAACAGTCACTCCTCAGTTATGTGTTTGCATGGTTAAGTGTTGTGCTTTTTCATTAGAGACTGGGCATCCTCAATTCCAGCAAGAGAACATGCAGACCTGAGTGGCCTGTCAGCCCCCTTCTTGGCCCTCCCAACCCCCCACTGTGGTTTCCATCCAGGTTTTATAATTTAGAAAATGTCCTGTTTCTCTGACAATTGCTTTCCCTATTCATGAACTGAGTAGGGCTGTTCCCTGTAGGGGTGGCCTGTAGGGCTTCCTTCCTCAACCACACAGTGACACCTCCTTGACCCCTGTCAGCCACTGCCCATTGCCGTTCAGTCTCCTGCCTCCCAGGGGCTCCCAGCACTAGGCGAGCTGGAGAGGTGACGCCTCTGCTTTCCCCACTGGACGACACACAATCAGCCACAAGCCGTCCAAGTGAGCCATGCAAGATGACAGCCCCTTGGGTGTTTTTCTGCTCTCTCCGCTCCATCCAAACACCAGGCCTTCCCTGGGTTGCCAGTCTGTGGGGGCTCAGGGAAGGCAAATTCTTCAAACGGAAGCTCAGCAAACTAGAATGAGGAAGGTGAATTTGCTGCCAAAAGAATCCTATTTTTAAAAATTACAGTTTTTAAAAAATTGTGGTAAAGTACATGTTTTTTATATATAGCTAATACGTCAACAATTTTTTAGAGTGCAGCTCAATGGCATGAAGCGCATCCACATGGTTATGTAACCATGACCGCCATTCATCTCCAGAACTTTTTCCATCTTCCCAAACTGAAACTCTGTCCCCATGGAATGCTGACTAGTCATTTTCCCCTCCCCCCAGCCCCTGGCAACCACCATTCTACTCTGTCTCTGTGAACTTGACTGCTCTAGGTACCTCATGCAGGTAGAATCATACAGTATGTGCCCTGCTGGGACTGGTTTGTTTTACCTAGCATAATGTCCTCAGGGTTCATTTATGTGTAGCATGTACCAGAATTTCCTTCCTTTTTAGGGCTAAATAATATTTTAATGTAGGGATATACCACATTTTGTTAATCCATTCAGCTGTCGATGGATTGTTTCCACTTTTTGGCTATTGTAAATAATCCTGCTGTGAACATTGGTGAACAAATATCTGTTCAGGCCCTTGCTTTCAATTCTTTGGGGTATATACCGAAAAGTAGGATTATCAGATCACACGCAGTTACATATGATCACATACAGTTACTCTATTTTTAATTTTTTGAGGAACCTCTATACTGTTTTCCACAGGGCTATACCATTTTACATTTCCACGAGCAGTGCATGAGGGGTACAATTTCTCCACCTCCTTGCCAACACTTATAATTTTGTTTGTTTGGGATTTTAATAATAGCCATCCTAATGAGTGTGAAGTGGTATCTCATTGTGGTTTTGATATGTGTTTCCCTGATGAGTAGCAGTGTTGAACATCTTTTCACGTGTTTATTGGCCATTGGTATGTCATCTTTGGAAAAATGTCTATTCGAGTCCTTTGCCCATTTTTTAATTGGGTTGTGTTGTCATTGTTGAGTTGTAGGAGTTCTTTATATATTCTGGTTATTAATCTCTTGTCAGACACATGATTTGCGAATATTTTCTCCCGTCCTGTGGGTTGCCTTTTCATTCTGTTATTAGTGTCCTCTGAGCACAAAAGTTTTTCATTTTGATGAACTCCAATTTATCTACTGTTTCTTTTGTTGCCTATGCTTTAGGTGTTGTATCCAAGAAGTCACTGCCAAATCCAATGTCACGAACCTTTGCCCCTGTGTTTTCTTCTAAGAGTTTTATAGCTAACGGGACTTTTTAAAAATTTAGATTCCAAATCCCATTCCAGACCTACCAAGGCAGATTCTCTGCTCCTCAGGAAGCCATATTTTTCTAAAGCTTCTCAGTGATTTTGGAGTAGTCTGTCTTCCCATAAGGGGCAAGAATCTTCCCTATAGCATTCCTGATAGCCACTCTTTCGGGGTGGCCTTGCGTAGACACAAAGAGCTTATTCTATTTCCTATAGGACAAAATTATGAGAACGTTTCTAAATAGTCACCTGAAATCAGCTTCCCTTCTGCCTATTGATTCAAATGCTGCCATCCAACAAAAATAGAGTAAGTGTAAATCTTCATTCAAATATTTCTACATGTTCTTAATGATTGCTCAGATAGTCTCTTCTCTAGACCAAAAACAAAAGCCCCCAGCTTATTTCATTATTTTCTTAAATGACCCAGTTTTCCAGATCGTGATTATCCTCTTCACCCTCCCCTGGAAGCTCTCAAGTTGTCAATGATCCTCTTAAAATTTGGCACCTAAACCAGTCACCACCTGACACTAGGCCTGCCAGGGTAATCTCCAAAGCATGACGCTATAGACAACTTGAGGTTGGCCGCAGACTGTCCTAGATGACAGTTTGAGAGACATTTTTACCTCTTGAAAAGAGAACAGGAATTTGTTTTTCTAAAAATAGGAAGGTCTGGAATTTAATCTAAGTAAGAAGATAAGTTCCACGGCCATCTGTCCTTCCATTCGCTGGCACCCAGAGTTGGAACAGGAGGGGAGTCAAGGATGGGCTCCCGTGCAGAG